ACCTGGAATAGACAATCAGTCTGTCATTGAACATCTGAACTTTGAATATATAGAAAATGTCAAGTTGGTAGTCTCTGCTATAACGGGAAGAGTTATTTGTTCTTTTATAGCTGTTTTCTTCCTTCTCCCCCCCTGAGGTTCCTGCCCACTCAGTTAGATTAGAACTATATAAACAAGCTTGTACTACTGAGCTAGCACACATATTGTAAAATTTTCTACTGAAGAGCTTAACATTGCCAATGTCAGGGAAAAAATCCATTGAGTTTTAATAGGCTGAGGCAAACAATGTGAATTTGATGTATATGGGGGAGAGGAAATAGCATCATCAGAATTCTTATTTGGCAGCATAAATAAATGTTCAGACTTTATTACACTCAGCACTTGATTATCTCTCCTACAAAATAGTTCCCTGAAAAGAGTTTTGAGGGCTGGGCAGTAAGAGCAGCAGGGGTGATATCTTAAGGCTTTTAGCTGCATGTGACACTGATTTTAATGGCATTGCAGTATAATTATAGGGTCTACCTCTTAGTCGAGCATCAGGACTACCTGAGGAGCTTACCTGTTGGCTTTATCTCTTATGCACCCAGTCAGAATACCTGAGGGTAGGTTCGGAAGGGCTTCTGCAGCGACTCTTGTGTAGGTGGCCTTGGAATTGCACCTGGCCAAACACTGGCATAGAGTAAGACTGCTGGTCCATTTCTACATTTGTTTTTTGCTAGAGAATTTATATGCTTATTTTATTATCTCTTCAAAAGCAACCCTGCAAAGTAGAGGGTTCTCATCTTCCAGGTGAAGAGCTGGAAGTTCATGCTTGGTGTGGCCTTGGTGTGACCAGAGCTGGGATGTAGTTTCTGGTTTGATTGCAAAGTCCCTTCCTCTTCCACATCATTGGGTCTTTCCTACCTGCTGTGCTCAGCAGTGCTGTCTGCTGGGCCCTAGGCTTTGATTGCTGTAGAGAGGCCGTTGTTACAAAGGAAAACACCTGGCATTTGTTAGCACTGTGAGCCACAAATGCAGTAGAAATTTGGAGTAAATTGCAGTCCTGACTTTCAAAAGATTTGTTAATCAGAATTTGAGTCAGAGATGCTCAGTTGTTCTATTATTCAAAGGGCCTCACCTCATCTCGCTTCCCACCCTCCCACATATTCCTTCTCACCTAAATTGCTCATGGGTTCCAAAAGTGAATTCCTGAGCTCAGCCGAGCCATATCAATAAACCCTGGGGAAAGCCTTCTTGTGCGATTCCACACATAGGTCTTTGTTGAGAAAGAGCCCTCTTTGTTGGCAGTTCTAATGCCTTATTATCTAGATGAGTGTTGCACAAGGAGTATACTTGCATCTTGGTAGAATCTTATCAGTTCCATCATTTATTCAAAAATATTTGAATACCAACTGTGTTCCAGGCCCTATTCTAGGTGCCAGCAATAGAGGGCGAACAGCATCAGCAAAGGTTCTGCCCAGGAAGAACTGGCTTGCTGGTGGAAGAGATGCCTGATGAATAAGTGAACAAAGTCATGAATCCAGAGGGGCAGGAATCCCTGCTATTTCGCTCCCCACATTTGGCTGTTCTCCTATTTAATGTCCTTGAGATCAGATCATTCTCATTTTTTTCCCCGAGTGTCCACTTCTGGGTCTTCAGATGTCCACACCTGTGTTGTCACCTAGGCTCAAGTGTCCTCTTCTGCCTCCCCCAGACCCATGTTGGTCCTTCTCCCCTGATCTCAGTTGCCCCCTCCTCCTGTTCTGTGTTATCATAAGTGAACACCACACATTACAATCTCCTGCTTTTGTGGACATGTCTGTCACCCCTTCTGGACTCTGAACACTTTAATGAGAGCATCTGTGTCTGATTTATCTTTACCTCTCCAGGGCCTAGCATGGAGCCTTGCAAGGGGATGGATGCTCTGTTTACTCCAAGAATACGTGTTGAGTCCTATGGCACCTAGTGGTTGGGTGGTGGTATTACAGTAGTTGCTTCTAGGGGCGGAATGCTAAGTCTGGGCGGGAAAGCTTAACCTTAGTTCTGTGATTTTTTGTGAAGTTCCACAGGAGCACTGTTATGAATAGAGGTGTTGGGCTAGGATATAGGCAGCGATGATGGAAGAGAGATGACATGGAATATTCTGGCAAGTCCTTGAAGGAAATTTAGAAGTTTGAATTCCTGAGCTCTAGGTCAGAACTGGAGGGAAAACTAGTGGTGGTGGGTTTTATAGTGAACATCCGGTTGGGGTGCAGGGAAGCTGTGGCTTGACTTGGTTTCAACAGCTATTTAATTGCCGATCAGGTGGGGGAACCAGGCCTCCTGGTGCAGAAAGCTTCTACTATGCTGGGATCGAGGTTTGTGACGGATAAGGAAACAAAGGCACAGAGAGGGGATGTCACTTGCCCGGGATCACTCAGCGTGGAGCGGTGGAGCCGGTATCCAGACGCAGGTCTGCCTGAGGGCAGAGGCCAGCTTGTAACCATTAAACGCTGGTCTCTTCTTGGAGGAGATGAAATGCACGTCTTAATACATTGTCAGTTTTCCTCTTTGTTAGCTGTATGCCATTATAGGAAAAGAATATTAACATGTTTCCTTTCCATTGAAATGTAGTTGTGTGTTTTCAGAAAAACACATTCTTTAGTCATTAAAACCAAAGTCCCTGAATTATTTACTGTGTATATACATGTAGGATACATAAATAGCATGAAGGTTTTGTTTTTGTTTACCACTAAATTTAAAATATTCCTATTTCGTACGCCATTTAAAAAATAAATATTTTATACTATATTGTAACGAATGGAAATCTATTCTTATATTCATGAACACCAGCTTTGTGGTTAATGAATTTATCCAGAGCATCTTTACCTTTGTGGGTTTTCCATCCCGTTCTCCCTGACAACTGCTGACATAGGGTTAGAGAGTGTTTTCGAAATGATCCTCTCTAGACACAGAAAAAGTAAAGGACTTGCTTGAGTTTCAAAGTGAGTTGATGGAGGAGTCGAAAATAGAAGCTTGTCTACTGCCTACTAGACTCACTGAAATTCCTGGCTGCGTTCACTTAGCGGTCTAACGTCCAGACCCCGGGACATGTTAGGGGTTCACACACAGACATGCCCCTGTTGGAGGGCAGGGAAGAGAGTCAGGCAAAGGGAGCACTGACAGGATTGTTTCTAGGTCACTTCCAACCTTGCTGTTATAACACAGTTTTCTGGGTGGAAGATGATATACTCATTAAAGTGGAAGTGTTCATTTTAAAATAAAGCAATAGGAGCTCAAAATGCCTCTGCTACATAGACAAATGAGCATACATAAGTGGGCTTGAGTTTTGTTTTTCACACACAGTCATATTCTATTTAAGGCAAAAGAGTAGGTAAATAAGTAGTTATTTAGGAATAAAACAGCATGTTCTTTATTTAACTTTAAAAGCCACTGATTAGAATAATAATCACTATATTCATAGAGTTACTAATATCGCCATGAGCAGAGATAATAGAATGATGCTGGTTACCGCTTCATGTAATCTCGCTTTTAAAATGGACCCTAATTCATAAATGATGAAGAAAACGAACAGCAGTATACAAATGGGATACTTTGGGTAATTAAATAAGTTACAAATTGCCATCTCTTTCTCATTATTTGCCCAAACTAATTTTTTATGGAATGACCTTTGGTACCAACTTATTTTATAATAAAATGTTTCCTGAGTTTTTAAAAAAACATTGTTATGGCCTTTTCTGTCAAGTATGGTATTTATGAAAGTTTCTTTGATGAAAAGCCTGTGAATTTTGTGCAAATAAGCCAAGCAGGTTCTTAGATTAGTGATAACATTTGTATAGGACTTTTATAGCTTTATATGATACTTTTACATTCAGTTTATTTAACTCTTACCTGTGAGTAGTCAGTAAAATTCACATTTTACTGATGAAAGCAATGCAGAGAAAGGTGCCTTGGCATGGTTCTGGGTACACAGCAAGTGCTCAACATATATATTTTAAAATAAGGAACACAGTTTTTTGGACTATAAGATGCACCCCCCCCCATATGGTAGGAATAATGGTTGTTAATGCTGCTATTGAGTTCTGTTTACATTTACATTGGTGAAATATTATGTTATTTATGTTATGAAACATTTGACTACATTTTTTGCTTCAAAATTTTTTTCCTATTTTCCTCCTCTAAAACCTAGGTGTGTCTTATGGTCCAAAAAATATGGTAACTTGCTTGAGCTCACCCAGCAAATAAATAAATATATTGTCATACCAAGAAATGAACTGGCTTCCTTACTTGAAAATTCCATATGTTCTCATTGCCTCACTGCTATCTTTTCGAGCATTTTAAAAGGTCAAATTAAAAAGAATCATTTTTCTTAATTGAGGTGAAATTCGCAAATGCCTGAAGTTTTTATTTGGAATCATAGTAGCCTCTCTTTTGTCATGACTGCCTTTATCATAGTGCATCCCCTGTACTTATAACAGTGCTCATAAAATTAACCATTTTAAATCATACATTTCAGAGCACTTAGTACCTTCACAGTGTTCTCTGTAAGGGCACCAATTTACCCACATCTTTTTCAATGCTTGTTATTTGAGATTTTGCTTTTATTACTATTACCTTCCTAGAGGGTATCAAGTGGGTATCTCCTTGTGGCTTCAATTTGCATTTCCCTGATAAAATATTCATATTTCAATGCATAGAATTAATCATAAGATGAGCTTTGGTAAAAAGTAGAATCAGCCTCAGAATGAGTGGTTTTATTTGTCTTCAGGAGATTACCTAAAACTGGAGTGCACAATTCTGGGCTGGAAAGTAAAGAACATGTTGCTTTGGTATTAGAAGGATGTATGTGGACAGTAAGACCCTATTTTTTAAAAAAAATACTGTTTAATGAGGCAAAATAAGAAATTACATCATGCTTTGTTTTCATGCCACTTGCCAAAAGATACTTAGATCTTTGCATTGTGGAGTTCTCTTTATATAATCTTGCATGTCTTAATGGCCTATTCATTCTTTTTTTGCAGCGTGAGTGAAGACATCCAGGATGGCTCAGGGATCTGGGGATCAAAGAGCAGCGGGGACTGCTGACCCAGAGGACAGCTCTCCAAACATGATAGTCTACCGCAAAGTAAGGCACCTGGTTAAACGCTCCCACGCTGCCTGTGTGTGTGTGCATGTCCTGTGTAGGGTTGACTGATGGTTGACAGCTCAACAAACATTTCTGCCTACACTGCCTGGACTGATAAATGAATACCATTTTCTTCTTGTGTCCTCTGGTTCTTCAATTCTAAAATTCAAGGAAGTTGGTTTTATTCATATTTGGTATCGAATACTTGGAAAAACATTATGTGGTTTTTTCTTTAAACTCAAAGATCACCTAAGCAATACAGATGGAGATGTATTCTCCTTTGGTATAAAGGCCTTACTGTAGCATTTATTAACTGAATGTTCTTCAAGCTCTTACTATGTATAAGAACTGGTCTAGATGCTATGGGAGATACAGAGCTATGTTTGTATTAAATGTTTACAGTTGGTGAGAGATATAAGATATACACAGATAACTGTAATAGAGTCTAAGTGTTCATTTTCAAAAGAGAAGTGCAGGTAGATAGTTACATAATTTTAGAGGAGGGAGCAATTGCTTCCAGCCTTGGAAGTCAGGGACAGGCTTGTGGCGGAGTAGTCTTTGAACTCAGAATGGGTAAGATTGCTTATGTGGAAAGAACATTCCAGATGGAAAGATGTGTTCTGCAAACGCAAAGAGCTGGAGAAAATGAACAGCAACCAGAACTGGTTAGCTTGCGTGTAGGATGGATTACTAGAAGTAAGTGGAGGTAGGATTCTGGGAAGAGAGGCTGGATGGAGCCAGATTTTAGAATGCAAAATCACGGGGAATTTAATCATGGAGGATTGTTATGCTGGGAGTTGTAAAATCAACATCTCTTTGGGATTATGAGTCTTGCCCCCATGCGGCAAATGCACTGTTATCAGGGTCGATTGGAAGCTCTGGGAGAGAGAGTTCCATGCCTGTGAGGAAGGTAAGGAGGCCACTAACCTGGTAAGGGACGTGCCCTGCAGAAATGAGCAGGACTGAGCAGAGGGACTAAAGAGTCTGAATTAAAAATGACTTGGAAAACAATCGGATACTGAATTAGGAAGCAAATAGAGAATCAGAGATGAATGGGTTTTTTGACCTTGGGTCATAGAAAGACATTGATGTTATTAATTCAAACGGAGACATTTGAAAGAATACATTTTAAAGGAAGGAAATCTGGCACACAAGTTTTATTTGTGCACATACCAAACTTAAGGAAATAACTGTGTCTTATATAACTTTTCAATGTTTGGCTGTGAAAATTTAAACTACCCATTACATATGAAGGAAAATGAATTAATATTCATTAATTTTACTAACTATTTGAGTTGTCTGCTGGGTTCTATGTATTCTGTGTGACTCTGTGTTTGATCTTTGTTAATCATATGGGCAGTGTTGACTAGATATTTCTGGATGATCAGATGATGAATTTTTCTCTTTTCTACATAAAAACAGAACTCTCAAACTATTTCTGCTTTGAGTATCAAATTCCTTAATTCTTTGCTTTGCAAGAGAATGCTTTGATGATCTGTTTCTAAGAGAGATGCTTATTAAGTTGTGGTAAAGAAAAAAAATAGTTTAATGGGGCTAACTAATTAGTGAGTCATACAGAATAATAGAAAGATTTTTGTTCACCATGACCTTCTTAATCCTCCTCGGACTGGGAGACCCTAAGCCTGGCCTGCAGAAACATGGGCTTTGGAGTTAGAACAGAGGTAAAGCTGCAACTCTGCCACTTCTACTGGTGTGACCTTGAGTCACTTGTTCAACTTCCGTCAGCCTCAGTTTCTTCATTTATAAAAAAAGAAATGTGACTCAGGAGGAGGGATAGTGCCTGTGGGGTTACTGTGAAGATGTATTTAGATCAAGTAAGGAAGGCATCTTAGCTCCTGCTTGGCCTGGAGGTGGTCCATAGTGAATGTTGCTGCTGCTTTTATCTCTAGGGCTTGTAGAGACAGTGACACTGGGGCGAAAGATGTTACAAAATATCTAAATGTTGATGCTGTTAACAAGTGGACTAAAGTATGTTTGTACAGTGCGTTGCTTTTTTAAGACACAGGAAAACATTACAAATATATTTAGTTTATTTAGGAGACTACAAATCACTGTGTTATTAAAGGTTGATAGGAAATGTAAAGGTCATACAATTCAAACACCCTTCCCCATGGAATCTTTGCTGTTATGTTGAAGGGGAAACTTTCTACAAGTTTGTGGTAACTTGATTTTTACTTTTCAGGCAGTACCAGGGAGCTCTTTTTGTTGTTGTTGTTTAATTGAAAAACAAAGTTGTGAATTGCTATAGTTCTTTAGAGAAATGGGCACTAGTCGTTTGTTTTTTAATTTGGAAATGTATCTTGCTTCCTCATGACAAATTTGTGGGCAGGGGTATGCATGTGTTTGTTATTTGACATATTAGTTAATTGCTATAAAAGGAATATTGGATATGTTCAATCTATTAGAAAGAGAGAAGACACACTCATTGCCCAGTATGGGTCCAGGACCTGGAATCATTTAAACCTAGGTTAGCTGACTTGCATAAGCCGTGGTTGTATCCGCAACAGAATATTCACCTAGTTTTCTCTACTCTCAGAGCTGTAGAGTAGCCGTTGGCTACGGCCAAGATGTACCTACTGCAGGACCCGATCCTCAAGGTGTAGCTAAGGATCGATCCTTGAAACCACAGTCAATTCAAAACATTTTCTGTGGACATCCTCTATGTAACAATTTATTCAAGGTTGTGGCTATGAAACCGGACCTTTACTTGGAGGTCTGCAACAAAAATTCACATTTAAAACACTGTAAATAGTGCTTTCATTTTTGATTTCTTTCTCTTGTTTGTTGTTTCTTTCTCTTGTCAGACATTTTCAGTGTGAAATTTTTGCTTGGAGTACGCTGTGTTGATTTAGATGCTGACATTTTAAAAGCCAAATCTAGAAAAATGGAGCTTTTGGATGGACTTCCGAGTAATAAGCAGGATGATTATGTCCATAATATTGTTGTGACTTTTAAATGCCATTTAGGGTGGTAACCTTCTGACTTATGAGTAATGATAGGTGTACTTCCTAAGCTCACACATTTCGGAATACTCTTCATTTACTTTTTATGTTTTCTGTGTCATTAGTTGTAAGAGTTGTACTTTCCCAAGGCCTGATTTATTTATTGACTTGAACAGACTTTTTAATTTAGTTTTTCATCCTTCATATTCATATTTCAGATTGGAGGTGTGTATGAAAAATGTGTTGGCACCATTAAAAATCTATTTAAAAGAAAAGCTTAATTATTCATAAAGTTGCCTAGACCTGTTAACCTTCTTTATATTCCTGGGTCCAAAAGATCCTTGGTCACTGAACTACTCAATGTAGTGATGATATTTGAACCTGGCTATATATTGGATCATTTATAAAAATTATAAAAATGTTGTTCCTTAAAGATTTTTTTTGATAGATCTGAGCTGGGTCCTAAGAATCTGAGTTTTAAAATGTTGGCATCTCCTCAAAAATTTAACACTTGAGCTGTATTATGACCTAGTGATTTCACTTCTGGGAATATATTCAAAGAAAACCAAGACACTAATTCAAAAGAATATGTGCACCCTTATGTTCATTGCAGCATCATTTACATCACCAAGATATGGAAGCAGCCCAAGTGCCCACCAATAGATGAATGGATAAAATAACTTTGGTACATTTACACAATGGAATTCTAATCGGTCATAAAGAGGAAAGAACTCTGACCCTTTGGGACAGCATGGATGGACCTGGAGAACATTGCGCTAAATAAAATAATTCAGTCAGAGATAGACAAGTGATTTTACTCATCTGTGGAATCTAATGAACAAAATAAACTAACCAACAAAATAGAAATAGACTCACAGATAGGGAATAGAATGACAGCCGTCAGAGGAGAGGGGATTTGTAGGACTGGGTGAAAAAGGTGAAGGGATTAAGCAAAAAACAAAACAAACAAAAAACAAAACAAAACAAAACAAAAAACCCCCCAAAAAACAAAACCAGACAAACCTCATAGACACACAAAAAATAAATAAAATAACTAAAATGTTTTCAGGAGAATCTGATACCTAACTAAGTTTGAAATGCATTTATTTTGTGTCTTTGACAACATCCAGGTAGAGTATGCATCTCAAAGAAATGGGAAAGTTGGTGTTTTGAAGAGGATTTCGGATTTCATAATTATTTGTACATCTCTCCAGATGTAGAAGAACCAGGCTCTTGTCATAGAGTTAAAATTAGGGATTTTAATGTGGGAGGTGGGGAGGGGGGTTGGGCAGGGGAGAGCAATGGGGGGGAAATGGGGACAGCTGTAATTGAACAAGAATTAAAAAATTGTAAAACACAAAAAATTAGGGATTTTAGTAGCTTCATCTTAAAGATTTTCTAGGTAAGACCCTCAGTTTACAGGTGAGAAACTAAAGTATGGCGAGGACGAGTAACTTGCTGAAAGTTGCTGAGCAGTTTCCTATTAATTATGTCCAGGTAGCTGGAGGCCTACCAGCACCCCCCCTCCCTGGCCCATTAAAATCTTTTTTTACTACCATAGTGTCAACACAACCATTACCACATTGTTGTGGCTCAGCAGACATTGGTGAAATTAAATACATGAAAATACTCTGCAGCAGATCTTTGGTTTCTGTGCTTATCCTCGGAGAATTGACTTGGGTTAACAACTGAACATTTAATGCTTAAACCTTCATTCTTCTTGCTGGTATTCTCTTTTCCTGCTTAAGGACTTTCTGAAATGTGTACTTTCTTTGATAGCTGGAAACATTTTTTGAGTAGGTTACTTTCTGATTTTGTTTGGTTCCCCAGTGGTGTTAACAGTGTCTCCTGACAAACTTCCAGCTAGACTAGTAATTGGATTTGGCAGAACTCAGGGGTGTTAGATGGTAGGTGGACAGAGAAAATTGGAGCTTAATGTGACCCAGGCTTGGGTCAGGAGGTGGAAGATGCCAGACAGGGAGCTGAGAGCTCTGGGTGTCTAGTCCCGGTTCCCACGTCTGCTGGGCCTCTGGGTAG